AAGTCACGATGACCTCTACGCCTTCCAAGTTGTAGACAGTGCCTTCCAAGTTAGCGAGTCTGGGAAATTGGGTTTAACAAAAAGGCGATTCCGCTTTTGTTGCTGCGTAGAATCTCATTTTTCACTTTGCAACATGTCAACTCTCTTCCTCCAAAATTCGCGAAAAGACGGACAACTTGAATCGCATCATTCCAACCACCAACCTTCAACAACGAACACTACTGCTTATTACCTGACTCGGGCGCCGACCCGACACCATCCACGATGACAAACATCTACGGAGCTTTGATTGTTCTTTTGCGGTCTAGACCTCGCCGGCCGGGTTTCGGCACAGCACGATGACGGTTTATGGGCACTCTACTTACTCCATCCTTGGAAAGTCCGGCGAGGATCTTCTCTTCTCTGACGAGCTCATGCCCCTATTCGGGCGGGCTCCCCAACAAGCCAACGGTTACACGCCCTGGCGCCCAAACCGACACCTTGTGTCCGTCGTCCATCCTGCAAACCGCCCGTTGTGGGACCTACTTACGGCTTCCGTTGCCCCATGCCTCCCATGGATCCGATGAGGGATCATCAACACGGCCGGCCTCATCAGTTACAGAGCACAGTACCTACGATACGGACTCGACTTTGCAGTGTGTCACCCACAGCGTCTTTTTACGAGCCACAAAATACTCATCTCATTTCCCTTCCATCCATGAGTGGTCGAGAAGAAGAATGATCCTTTTATCTTGACCTCCCAACCTGAGCCAAGAAGAGCCTTTCATTCAGCACAGTACCCGACACAGCAGTTACAGCTCTTGGCCAATCGCCCCTTCGGTTAATGAGACCCCGCAAGAGAAAGCCTATCTGCCCTAAGGTTCTCATATAGGGCTGCTAGAGTGTGCTTCAGAAAATGCTTAGCATGTTCTACCAGTGCCGCGTCAAGCAAAGATATACTATGCAGACGCGTATGAGGCGGGGCGGGAATGGCATCACAAATGGCACAATGCTGCAACTACCTGGGATATGTCTCGCATCTCTTTGTGGTTTTGGGGCGAAAAGGCTTTGTCTTGACTGGCATGAGGCGAGTGTCACTCTATCTACTGTCTGGTGCCCCTCTCCCTTCCCACTCCGATACATACTCAACTCATTTTTGTCTTCTTCCACGGCTAGCTAGGGGTGTGCAGTGCAAGAAGAGAGAGATTCTCAGCAATTCCGTACGAGCCGGAGCTGTCGCGAGAAAGAAAACGGTTCGAGGTGTCCCATCGGGATGCTTGTATCGAATTGTATTTTTCTAGGCACTGGCTATATCGCCGTAACAAGTCAGAAGGCACTAACTGTCGGAGGCGGCCATCACCTCCGACCCGCCCCGTTTGGCGGAGAATGCGTTAACACGGTAGCTGACATCCCCCGTCTTTAGGCGCCGTTTAGAGCCTCGTCGGCGGTGGGCAAGGGACATGAGACTGGTTGCAGCCTAGCCTGCCCAGCTAAAGCCACATTCGGGATTCGGTCAGTTGCGTTGTGGGATAAGCATAACTCCATGATAGCCAAGTCCGCGACAAGGGCCCTGTGGAGGGAGAGATATGAAAATCAAAACCCATCGAGAAACATGTCGACGGCCAGCCTGCCCAGTGGCTAGTTGCCGGTTAATTTCGACGACACGCACAGCTTCCGAACACGCAAACTCGAAACAATAATCGTTCGAGAAGAGGGGAAAGGTGAAGCGGTCCAAAATCCCGCGACCAACCTGCATGCACAGCAACACACACACATGCATAGTAACACCTTGTTCCGAGAGAAAAAACCTGTTTTTCCTCCCCATTAGGATCCAGCTGGGCAGCAATCACACTCATACTCTCTCCACATTTGCCGGGGGGGAGGGGAGCACAAAAACGGGAGAGGAAGAGCACATGGGCCGGACGGAGGAGCCAAGGAGAGCAAGCTTGCCGACAGGGTTGGTAAACGGCAGCACGGAACACCGTTCCTAGTTGAGAAAAGTGAGACAAGGCACGCGGAGACGGGAAGCTGTAACGGTAGGTTCGGCAGAATGAGATCGAGATAACGGAGGTAGGTCGGTAGAGCGATGCTAAATAAAGCTACTCGGGGGGCATATAAAGTGAGAGCAAAGCCTTACGAGGCTGGAAAGCCTAATGAGACGCGGACAAGGGATCCGGAACGGCAACAGGATAGACTGTCGTGTTGATCAGAGGCATTCAGACGACAGACTACAACATGCGCAGGATGACGCTCAAAATGAGAGGACAGCGCGGAAGTCATCAAGGAGATAAGATGAGCGCGTGTTTGCCACTCAAAAAAGCAAAGCAATCTTCAATTTCGTGAAAAATTGACAACGCGGGATATCAGTCAAGAACACCCAAGGGTTTTCTAACACGGAAACAGCAGCGAAAGGGCAGAATAGACATGTGGTTAATCAAGAAATCAAAACCAGCTGAAACGGCAAAGGAACGTCTGTCTGGAGAAGGAGAACGTTTGCACGATACCCGACCGAAAATGAATCCATGGCCGCATTTTTCCGCTGATCATGGCCGGTCCCGTCCAGCAAGGTGCTCGTCACTGTGATGATAGCCTCTCTCTAACAATCGCATGGGACCAACCTCACGAGCTATTGAACGGAAGCGAGGTAGATATATCCCCGGCCTGCCAATATTGAGGCACAAACCCACACACATCAACGGAAACAGACCACTCGGGAAAATGCCTATGCCCCCCCTGGCCCCTTACCCAGCGCGCTCCCCGGAGTTACATATCTACCTTTGCTTGTTCAGCTCGTCCAAAATCGGTGTAGAGATTTACACAGTAAAGGCATTCATTAAGCCGCACCGACGATCATGACATAACACGCAGACCCTTACCCTTCCTACAGTGTAGATCGCTATCGGCGTTCCTGGTGTAGATCGGAGAATCAAAACTATTGGCGTGTGGGTCAAGCCCACCACGTAGTGTAGTAGATACAGAACCGTACAGGAAGGTGAGGTGAACATTGATGTTGATACAGATAAGCAGGGACTCAGAGGTTTTGAGAGACGAGGAGGGGTCGACGACAGAAAAGAGCTATTCTATATGCTCCTCAGAAACAATGGAACGTGTCCCGTTGATATTCCAGATATCAAGAGACCTCTTCTTCTAGACTACCTTATGAGGTGGACAGGTTGGGACCCCAAAGACCCTACCTACCCAGGACTGGGACTGGGACAGGAGGCAGAAGCAGAAACCATGCCAGTTCGAACGTGACATATCAATATAATTAATTCAAATACATAAAGTGGGTGGCTATAACAATAATGCGCACTCCGAGCCGTAGGTAGGTACAAAAGACAAGCAGTTCTTCGTCTCTACCACCATTATCGTCATCATCACCATCGTCAGCCACTCAACTAGGTAGGTAGCAGTTCTACACAAAAAAATATGTTGTCTGCATTATACAGCGCAGCACAGCACCGTGCTCTCCCCATTGAGAGGCCCATTGAGAGGCAGGAACGATCGAGCACCAGTTCAAATTCAGGTTCAGGCTCAGGTTCAGGTTCAACTGCTCGGCCCTTGCTCCTTCCTTCCCTGCGTCAAGCTTTAGACTGGAATCGACTACGGCACCTAGAGGTAGATTCAACGGAAAAGAAACCGCATCTCCACAAACAAAGTTTCGACTCATCAACAAGAGTACCTAGGTATCCACGATCTGAGTCTGTATCGCCGCTTCTTCTGGGATATATATGACCTCTACGCATAAACATACCAGGAAGGAAGGAAGGAAGGAAGGAAGCAAGGAATGGGATGCCCCCACCTAGAGATACCTTATACGAGTATGAGTCGTCCTTTGGACGTTTCAGTTAGATTAATGCTCAGAACGTTGGCGGATTCCCACAGTAGGTAGTCTAGACGTGAGTGTTTCTCGAAACTCGGTTGGTTTCACTGTTGGGTCACAGCTGAGTGCAAGTTTGTTCGATTGAGATATTTGAGCAACTGACTGCATTATGGTACATACATACGTGGACCGTTAGTTTGTTGGCTGACAGGGCCTCCCTCCTCCTTTTAATAGGTACCTACCTACCGTAGTACGGACTCTCCTCCGACCACCTCACCAGGTGCAGTCTGGTCCCGTCTGAGGAGTTGGAAGAAGCGACCCGACTTGTTGACGGTGGGGTGGGCCGTGTAAGTTAGTCGTGACTTCCATAATATTAAGTTTCGTCCGATACGTTAGAATTGGATATTAGCCTAGAGGTTGTTCAGTCGGTAAGGGAAAATGAAACACAATATACATAAATACCTTACTAACTCACGACTTTCTGGGTTGGGTGTGGCTCTTGGTTTATGAATGTGTTTAAATAGTTGTGGGGTGGTAGGTAGCAATTAGGAGTATACGTATGTACTAGACACAAGAGAATCATCAATATGATGAGATGTATGCGCGCGTGTGTGTGGGTTATACAGAAATAAACGCCCTGGCTGAAGACTCCTCGTCGACGGGAGGAATAAAAGCTTCGTGAGTGGCTGACTGTACGGGCCGCATCTAGATATGTCCAAGACCTTGTTGCTTGGTAGTGCCGTATATCTAAGATAACCTGTCTTGGGAATGACAAGGGAGAATTATAGAAAGGGATATGTGATTTTGGCCATAATGAGCCATGATAGGGGTACGGGAAGGATAGTTGGTTGACCTTGAACAAACAGCTCAGATCAACAGCTTGATGCAGTAATGGTAGGTGGTAGAACACACACTCAAGAGATGTGTAAGAAACATGGCCATGATTGATACCTAACAAGGGTCAAGAGAGTGTTATATGATGATCATTGGTATTCCGAAAGGACAACCGTAACCCAGTGGTGAAGTCATGAGGTGACAAAAGTAAACAAAGGCCCCCTATTCTGTACCGAAGAACTAATCCAAAAGAAGAAGAAAAACCGCCAACCCAAACTCCGTTCCCGCTTTGTATATTACCATCGTCTGTATCTTTTTATATTCTTTCGTCTTCCGATCTGAACGCGATATTATGCGTGTCCCCTCAGAAAATGACCTTGGAAGCAACCGTCAACAACCAAGCAGCATCATGCCAGGTCCCGCCCTCCTCCTTGGGGGCAGGCAACTTCTCATCCACCAGCTTCGACAGCTGCGCATCCTCAAACCGCCTCTGCTCCCTCCTCTGCTTGTCATGCGGCCTCCTCCTCGCCTCCTCACTCGACGAGTCCGTCTCCGTCGTCGACCCATCGTCATCCTCCGTCAACTGTCCCTCCGACTGTTGTCTGCTGCCATACGCCAGATGATGGTCATCCTCCTCATCGCGGTCAGAATCCGAAGAATCCTCCTCGTCATCTTCCTCGACAGCAAACAGCTGAACGCCCAGCACGCGCCCGAACCAGGAGCCGATGTTGCGATCCTTGACTAGGCGGCGGACGGTGATCTCGTCTTCGACGATGGAGATGGCGGCGTTGTTGTCGAGCAGCAGTTGTTGCTGGTTGTAGTGGGCCAGCTCGAGCTTCTCGTCGATGTTGACAAAGTCCGGCCCGGGCCCGTTGGTGTCCTCGTCGTCCTCTTCTGTGATGCCCACCTCGTGGTGTTGTTGTTGCTGGTGGTACATGCCGTGGTGGTGGAAGTAACCGGCGCTGTGCTCGAGGGCGTGGCGCTCGTTGGGGGTGCGGGCGAGCTGGGTTCGGCTGCCGGTGCGGCTATGGGAACGGCTGCCCAGACGGCTGTGAATGGGCGAGGTGGTGTAGTAGTCATCGTCAATGAAATTGGTGCCGGTGGTGATCACCAGGCTGCCTCGTCGTGAGGCGTTGCGGCTGGCGTTGCGAGAGACATTGCGGCTAGCTATGCCGGGGATGGCATTGGCGGCGGTGTTTTGGAGAAGCAACTCGCGCTCGCGGGCGAGCTCTCTTTCAAAGGCCTCCTCTTCGGCGTTGTGCAGGCCGGTCAGGGAGGTCGAGCTGGCGCGGGAGGCGAGCCATGATTGGCCCTTGGACTCGCGGGTCTCGGTGGAGATGAGGGCGCCGGCGCGCAGGAGCCAGTCGGATAAGTTGCGTTCATTGTCGGCGGCGACGGCGGCGGCACTACGGCGCTTGTGTGTGGGGGAAGCGGCGCCGCTCTTGCTGCCGAGGTGGGTGGTCGACTTGGACTTGGGGAGTCTGGCAGCCGGAGCAGACTTGCCACGGGAGTGCTTCATGCCGGTGCCGGTCATGGTAGCGGCGCGGGCGGGGTGGGGACCGGGCGAATGGGAGATCAGACGAGGGGTAGCCGGAGCAGATTTGCCCTGGAGATACGAAGTGCTGTGGGATACGGGCTCGAACTGTTGTCCGTACTGCTCGAGGAAGTCATCGTTATCGATGGGGAGCTTGGAGGTCAAGGGAGCAAGGGAGAGGTGGTTGAGGTTTGTTGAGGAGCGGTTCTTGCGCCGGGCGGCGTGCGAGTGTTGATTGTAGGCCACGTCCATGATGATGGCAGTAATAATGGTTCAATTCACTTCTTGGGGGATAGGTAATGGTAGAATGTCCAATTGATGCGAGTAGATTGTGTAAGCAAAAAGTGACAGTCCGGGGTAGATATAAAGATAAGAAGAACCCGGGGAAGCTGTGATTCAGATAGCTCAAGCGGTGTAACCACCCGCAATAATATGGTTGACGTTATCGAGCGGCGCGGGGACCAGGAACAGGAGTGGCACTCTTTAGTTGTATCAATCCAGGTAGATCCCAGATATCTGAGATATCGGGAGTGCAATGGAGTACGTAAGATGAAGCAGAGAAGAGGCCCGTTCGTGATGTGTCGGTCGATGGTTGGGTATAAATCTCAGATTGGAGATGTTGAGTTTGGACGATGCCGGGCAGTGTGAGGTTAGGCCAGTGCAGATGCTAGAACTAGGTCTTTGCAATGCCGATGTGACCAAACTTGTAAAGCCGAGTTCGTGCCGTCTGTTAAAGTTCGCCTCGTTTCTCGCGTCTCGCTTGGGTTTTGCGCTACTAGTCCAAAGTAGTGTAGAGTCTAAAAGTCTTGGGAATGATGGATGTGACAGACGCAAAGAGCGTTGATGAATGAATGAATGAATGAATGAATGAAGGATGGAATTGGCCTGTTTATGTATTTGTTTTTCTTTTGTTACGAACGATACAGTGCTCCAAGTTGTTGTTCTGTTCCCGGAGGTGCAAAGTTGGTCATGGCAGGTAAATCGAGCACAAGCGGCAGACCGCGATGTTTTGTGATTGGTCAGATTCAAGCTGTGGTGGCGCCACCGTCAAGCTTCTGGACCTCACCCGCTGCACACACTTTGACTGGACCGATGTACCAGGTACATGGCATCTGCTTAATGCCTGCGTGTACGTTGACGTACCCAGGTACCTACGGCAGACGTTTTCCTGCTTCCTCCTTCCAGCCACAGAGAGTCGAACGCATCAACGCTAACAAAGTTGAGATTGAAGCTGCATCTCCCCTGCTGTTCCTGCTGCTGTAACACCCCAAAACACTGCTGTCAGTGACTGTCATGGCTGTTCCTGGCTACCGGTGAATATCGACTAACACATCAACGACAAGGCATTCAACGGCGGTTACCTGTAACACTGCAGAGGATCCCTCTTCCGACATCAGATGTTTTTCGGCCAGTTCCTGTAGCTAACAAACTGGATTACTGTCGTCTTCTGCGTCTCCAATACCACCGCAGTCAAAACACCATCTTTCGATTGACTGTTTACGAACCCTTGGTTGCGTCAGAAATTGGACATCGGTCGGTTCAGCGCAATTCATTCGACCAGTCCAGCCCAACTACAGTACAATAGACAACCCCGGATCTGTCTACCCAAGCGGCTGCCCAGAGAGGACCAGATCCGCAACAGTCGCATTCTCGACTGCGATTTGTCCAATCACCATTGCAAGGAGGGGCGAAAAAAAAGTGCGAAATTCTGAAAACCGAAAAGCAGTCCAACAGGAAGCTGCACTCGAGCCGAAAGAAACTGTCGCTCCCTGCAACTGCAACTGAAAAGCGGAAAGAAACGAGAAAAAAGAGGGGCAATTGGGCACTTGCACATCCAAGCTGTTGCTGCTGCTGCTGCAACGAAACGGTACAATCAACCTCGAGCTTCATCGACAAAGCCTGAACCCCTCTTTCCACATCCATCACTGCTTGAAAGTGACAGGACTACCAACCAACGTTTGACTGGTCTATCAAATTTGGTCACTGGACTTGTGAGACCTTGAAAGCTCACCACTCAGAGTCAACCTCTGTGATAGGCCATTTCTAACTGGTAGGTACTATTTTACTGGCTCTAATTTTCTCTACGCTACCTATCTCTTGGCTTATCGATTCGCTACACCACTGCACAAACACAGTTCTCTATCAAGGTTGGTGATACCAAAAAGTCAACAACATCAAGCTTCACCTTGCAGCAGAAGACACTTCACTACACCACATCCTATGCACATATACTGCGCATATACTGCACCTACACATGTTCATCCTGCCCTTACATACCTTTGCCCCATCTCAATGTAATGCAAAAGCTTCGGATATCTGGCCTTCACATGTAATTGCCACCCATCCATTCTCTCATCATTTTTCCAATTTTTCACTTTGGGATGGTGTTGTCGTTGGCAGTCCAAGCTTGAGCCGCCGAATCTTTCCGAACAAATACGACCATACGAGCCTCTTACACGATCTGAACCCCGTCTGAACCCCCAGATCTCCAAAATCTCTGACTTCACCCCTTTCCCTTTTAGTCGAACCACATCCGTCCCATGCATTACATACAGAAAAAGGGAATCTCACACTAGTTTCGATACATCCTCTAGGTACCCCCATCCAGTATAGCATCAGCCTTAAGCCGCAAAGACCGAACGACTCCAGTCTTTGTTGTTTAGGTAGAAGAGAATAGGCCAGGCAGGCATTGACACATACCTATTCGGCCATGCGGAATCTGCGCAACATCGGGCACGGCGCATACAAGCGTCAAGAACCCCTGCCCTCCATCTCGGCCTCCTGCTGGGACGTATCCCGCGATGAGATTATCCTTGCTCATGGCCCTACCCAAGACTTTTCCCGAGTCGAGCTGGTGAGGCTCGTGAAGGACTCGGGTGAACCTTCAAACCTGTAAGACACTAACTTCACAACCAACATTGATCACCGTCATCATGTGTTGTTTCTCATTGCTTGTTTTTTTTCTCCTGCTTGGATATGTAGAGGAATAAAAACTAAGACCTCGTATAATCTCTCTGTAGTGAATCAAAACCCATAGCATCATGGGATGCCGCCCCCATCCTCAGCCAGGACGGCTCGGAAGAGCCAGTGGAGCAGCCAGACACTATCAAGTCCCTTCACTACTTCCCCGACACCTTGACAACATGCCTTATCATGGCCGGCGGCGACATCGTCACCGTTGTCGAGTCCGACGACTCCTACGGCAGCGCACCCGGTGAGGGTGAGGCGCATGTCGAAATAGTCGGCACCCTCTCCCCCTCCGTCTCGGCCGCCCGCTGGTCTCCGGACGAAGAACTCCTCACCGTCTGCACCGGCGACGGCCAGGTGCTCTTCATGAGCCGCACCTTCGACGTCATCACCTCGGCCACCATGGCCGAGGACAACCTCAAGCTGTCCAAGCACGTTTCCGTCGGCTGGGGCAAGAAGGAGACGCAGTTCCAGGGCCGGGGCGCCAAAGCCAAGGCGTTGCGTGACCCTACCATTCCCGAGAAGGTGGACGAGGGCAGGCTCAGTGCCAATGACGACGGCAAGAGATGCACCATCAGCTGGCGTGGCGACGGCGCCTATGTGGCCGTTAACTTTTACTCTCCGGAAAGCGGCAACAGGAGAGTCATCCGTGTGTATAACCGCGACGGAGAGCTGGACAGCGTCAGCGAGCCGGTCGATGGTCTGGAGGGCAGTCTCAGCTGGCGGCCCGAGGGGAACCTGATGGCTGGTATCCAGCGCTTCGCCGGTGATGATGGCCGTGTGGACGTTGTCTTTTTTGAGAGAAACGGGCTCAGACACGGCCAGTTCACGCTCCAGATTCCCAAGGACCAGCCGGAGGCTGCGGAGGACTTGGCGCTCGAGTGGAATGCGGACTCAACTGTCCTTGCTGTTGTCATGAAGGATAGGGTGCAGCTGTATACCATGGGTAACTATCACTGGTATTTGAAGCAGGAGATTCCGTGCGCGGATTACGCCCGGGCCAAGGAGCAGGCGCTGCCTTGGTTCTCGTGGCATGCTGAGAAGCCGCTTCTTTTTGCCGTAGCTGCTGCGGGTATGTATCAGCCCCTTTTATCCAGTTATCTTGTTCCAAGCTTACACATCTCACAGAAAGAGTCGTCTGGTTCGAATTCATCCTGTCCATCGCCCGTGGTCCCATGTGCGGTGGTATGGGCGATGTTGCAGTTATCGACGGACGCACCATCAAGTTCACTCCCTTCCAGACAGCCAACGTGCCACCTCCTATGGCCCTCTACGACATCGAGGTGGACTACCCCATAACCGACATCGCCTTTTCCAAGGATGGCTCGCAGATGGCCGTCTTGCACCAAAAGGGCATGCACCTCTTTGCCCTTGAAAAGCAAGGCCCCGGAGCTGGTCGTCGTGCCATTCCCAAGTTGCTCAAGACCATCCCGCTTGACAACTTCGAGAACAAGTGCCAGCTACAAATCGCCTTCTCTGCTCCTTCCCAGGTTCAGATACTCTCGCTGGATGATTTCCAGCTGCAGATTACGGCTTGGGACTTTAACGAGGAACTGATGGGTGAAGTTGGCGTTGGTCTGCAGGCTGTCACTCTGACTTCTGCTGATGAAACTTCAACTGAGGAAGGCGCAGTCGTTCAGAGTTGCCAGGGCAACATTACCCGGGTCTCCTTGGAGACTGGCGAGACAGTGCTGGGCAAATTCCCTACTCTTCTCCCATGGGCTACCTACACGACCTTTGAAGACCAATTCATCGCTTTTGGCTTGTCCAGGAATGGCCATCTCTACGCCAACTCTCGCCAGTTGGTCAAGAACTGTACATCTTTCGTCGTCACTGACAAGCATCTTATCTACACGACCAGCAACCATTTTGTCAAGTTCATCCACTTGACGGCCAATGTTGACGAACTCGATGTGCCTCTGGATGATCCCGAGACCGATGAGCGTTGCAGAAGCATCGAGCGTGGAGGCCGTCTCGTCACGGCTATGCCTTCCAGGATGAGCATTGTGCTCCAGATGCCTCGCGGCAATCTCGAGACCATCTATCCCCGTGCCATGGTCCTGGCCGGTATCAGACAGCTGGTCGAGCAAAAGGAGTATGGTGCTGCCTTTGCCACATGCCGCACCCAGCGTGTGGACATGAACCTTCTCTATGACCACCGCCCCGAGCAATTCCTTGAGAACGTCGGTCTCTTCCTTGACCAGGTCAAGAACGCAGCTGACATTGACTTGTTCCTGTCCACCCTCAAGGAGGAGGACGTCACGCAAACCATGTACCGCAACACCAAAGCCGGCGTCGTCACAGCCACTACTCAGCAGCCGGTGGCGGCCCTGGCCACTGCTCCCAAGACCAGCAAGATCAACACCATCTGCGACGCCGTCCTGCACAGCTTGAAGGCCAAGAAGAGCGCCAACCTGCAGAATATCATCACCGCTCACGTCTGCAAGAACCCTCCCGCCCTCTCGGACGGTCTGCAGGTGGTCGCCTCCCTTATGGAAGAGGACGAAACCCTGGCCGAGCGCGCAGTCGAGCACATCTGCTTCCTAGTCGACATCAACAAGCTCTACGACCATGCCCTTTCGCTCTACAACCTCGAGCTGACTCTCCTCGTTGCCCAGCAATCGCAGCGCGACCCCCGCGAATACCTCCCCTTCATCCAGTCGCTGCACAAAATGGACCCTCTCCGCCGGCAATTCACTATCGACGACCACCTCTCCCACCACGAAAAGGCGCTCGTCCACCTCCGGGCCATCGCCAACACTTACTCGGAGGAGGTCGAGTCCTACATCGTCAAGCACCAACTCTACCCTTCTGCCCTCGCCCTCTACCGCAACGAACCTGGTCCCCTCCGCACCATCACATCCCTCTACGCCTCCCACCTCCGCTCACTCTCCAAGTTCCGCGACGCCGGCCTAGCCTACGAGTCCCTAGGCGACTACCCCTCAGCAACAGAATGCTACCTCAAAGCCGGCTCCTCCTCCTGGCGCGAGTGCCTCTTCACCTCCTCCCTCGATCCTTCCCTTTCTGCCGACCAGCGCCACGAAATTGCCTCCACTCTGGCCGATGCCCTTCGCGAAGCCAAGGACTGGAGCGCCGTCGCCACCATCCAAGCCGAGCACCTTTCCTCTTTGGAGTCCGCCATTTCCGCTCTCTGCAAGGGCTACCTCTTCGCCGACGCCTTCCGCTTGATCTCCCTGCACTCCCGCCCGGAACTTCTCGAATCGCACCTCGACCCCGGCCTCCTCGACGCCTTTTCTTCCTCAACCGAGTTCCTAGCAGACTGCAAATCCCAACTCAAAGCCCAAGTCCCCCGCATCCTCGAACTCCGTGTCAAGGCCGCTGAGGACCCGCTTGCGTTCTACGAAGGTGAAAATCCCTTTGGTACTCGCACGGGTGCTGCCGGAGGTGATATCCCCGATGATATTTCCATCGCTGCCTCTTCGCGGGTATCGACCTCCGCTTCGCTGTTTACCCGCTACACCGGCAAGGGGTCGCAGGTTACGGGTACTGTAGCGTCCAACGTCTCCCGCGCTACGAGCAAGAACAGGAAGAGGGAGGAGAAGAAGCGCGCTAGAGGAAGGAAGGGCACGGTTTACGAGGAGGAATACCTCGTTAACTCTGTTCGTCGCCTGGTTGAGCGTGTCGAAGGCAGCGCCAGACAGGAGGTGGAGAGATTAGTCTGCGCGTTGGTCAGGAGGGGTATGTCAGAGAGGGCAAGGGCCGTGGAGGGGTTAATGGGTGAGGTTGTGGAGGGGTGTGAGAGAGCTGTGGGAGAGGTTTGGCCTCAGCAGCAGAATGGTGAGCAGCAGCAGCAGGAAGGGGTGAGAGCGGAGGTGATTTTGAGGGTGCTGATTGGAGGCCGACGGGTGGTGACGCGGTCTTGGCGGATAGTATTGAAGCTATGAGAAGGGGTGTGGGCAAGCCGGTGGTGAAGAAGTTTGAGAGGTTGAGTTTGTTGGGTGGTCGTTAAGACGATCAGGGAAGGGAGGGTCTGATTGGGATGGAATGTGATGGAAGGAGGGGAAATGGACCCCAAAGATGAATGGATAGTGAAGTGGGTGAAAGAAAAAGACGGAAGGTAAAAGGGGGTTGAGTTGATGATGGGGAAATTGCTTGAGAAAAGTTGAAGTCAGAACAGGAAAAGTAAGATGCTGAAGCCCTGTCGAATTAGATGTAGATAGGTTATTCCAAAGAAAAAGTACGATAAAAAACAAAACAAAAGGGGGTGATACGTTGTAAAGTGACCTCTGCTTTACACCCATACACATGCGATTCGAGGTATATCGTGAGGGGAGGAAACTTGCGAGTGACTGCGAGTGAGCCTTCATCAAGCTTGCATGCAGTCTGCAAGGGAAATGCCTCAGAGGAGAGAAAGCAACCGGGTGTAATTGATTGATCAAGTAGAAAACAAGTGTGTGGAATTCAAAAGACATAACCTTTCAAGGTGTGGAGGAGGCCGGGTTCATGTACACAGGAAGTCTCGTGAACAACCCAGCTTCCAATTCGTTGGACCTTGATGGACCGGAGTATTGAACCTCCTTCCTTCTCAGATGGTAGCTTGTTCTTTCCCTAGATCGGGCACTGTTGTGATGACTTTGTTCCTTCTTTGTATGAGGTACGTGCCTTTTACTATCTACTGGGTCGCAATTTTCACGGCGAGGATCATGACGACGAAGGTGCTTGCCTGAGAGACGGAGCCCGTCGGTCGTAACAGAGTTATCGATAAGTGACACGGATAGAGGCATCAATTTTCTTGCATATATGAGGACATAGGGAAAACATATAGATCATTGAGACCAGCCCATGGTCGCAGCGGAATGCCGGGTAAACCTAGCCAATGTCATTTCAGAGTTCCATGTCTTGTGTTTCTATCCACAGACATCATGCGATTCGAGGATTCAATATCTGACTTGATCGAAGACCGCGAGTTCCATCCCGGGCCTGGTGTCTTCAACCATTTCTATAGACATAGCCAAGGTTCTCCAGCCCACATTCCCGCTGCTCAAACAAAGATCGCCTGGTATACACACTCAATTTTCCGGTCCACCTGATTGCCCCTTTTTGAACTGACCCAAATGCATTTTGTATACCTTTTTGAACCATATACACTAAGAATACACATTCACAAAGCCTGGAACTGCCCCTTTTTTCGACCACCCGTCACAGATTTCCTTCCCATTATATCTCTTCTTTTTGCATTCAGCACAAGCATTTCTCAGCTTTTGCACTTTATGCTTCATAGGAAGGAATCCGTCAGTGATCCAAGGACACTCCATATCCACACCCACACCTACTCATGCTCCCCCCTTCAAGCCTTCGGTTGCTCGGGGGTCGTAGTCGCATCCTCTCCACCAATCGATAACTGCTCAACCGCCTTCTCGATCTGTGCCACCGTCTCCTCCTTCACCTTGGGCTGGGGCCCGGCCTGCTGTCCCAGCTTATTCCTCGCCACAACCTCGCCAATCTTGGCCAACATCTCCTCCGTGAGGACCGGCTGGCCACGGGCGCGGCGCAGCTCGCGCTGCTTCCTATTGAACTCCTGGACGGGGGTGAGCATGGCCTTGGCGGCGTTCTTCTTGGTCTCCTTCTCCTGCTCCTCGGCCTCCTTCTTGGCAATGTACTCGGGCGTGTGGCGGGTGCGGAAGATGGAGTACTTGTTGCGCAGCTCGTCGAGGACCTGGATGGGTGCGGGCGGGCGGAACAGGGTCGGGACGAACGTCTTCTCATCCAGGTCGATGCGCAGGGTGTCGGCCGGCTGGTCCTCGCGCTTGATGGGCTCCTGCTTGGGCCACGGGATGATGATGTTCTCGCCGGGCACGTAGCGGCGCATGCGGCGGGTGCGCGTGGGCCGGTCGTGCACGATGTCGCGCGGGCGCAGCTCGCGGATGATCACGTCCCGGTACTCGCCGGTCTCGGGGTCCTTGAGCGGGTGCACCAGACGCACCGAGGAGAGAGGCAGGCGGGCGAGAATGGGCTGGACGGGCTTGGTGTCTTCTCCCATGACATAGTCGGGTAGGGTCGTGTTTGTCTAGAGAAGGGGCGGAAGAGAAACACGGTATGTGGTGAGCATTTAGATTCTACTACGGGCGCGCGGCGGCGCATACAACATGATATAACAACAAACGAAGCGACATGGTGGTGGTGGTGGTGGTGGTGGTGGTGATGGACAAGGCTGCTCACTTTAAGTTTCTCTGCTTTGATCTCTACTGTCATGTTCCTGGTGTTGAGCTTCTCGATGGTGCCGATGACATCCTTGTGGTGGCCTTCGGTGACGACGACGCGGTCGCCGGGGGCGATGCAGAGGAATTTGGGAGAGCCGCACCAGGCAACGCGGGCCTTCCTTTCCTCTTCCGAGACCTTGTTCTCGAGAAGGACACGGGTGGGGGAGAGGGTGCCGTAGTAGTTTTGCGTGTACGGGTTGATCTCGCCGAGTTCGCGGCGGGGAGCGAGGGGACCCAACATCCAGTCCTCATTGCGAGCCTCGATGGCGGCCTTCCTTTGTCGAATGGCTTCGGTAAAGGTCTCGCCCTCCCTCTTGTTCGTCTTTCTCTGGGTGATGCGCTTCATTACGGTCTTCTTGCGCTCGGCGCGGCGGGCGACCATGCCCTCGGCCATGCGCACACGCCGTAGTAGCTTGTCCATGGTTGTGTATGTGTCTGTTGTGTGTTGTGTGGTGCCGGCGCCGGGGTATCTGGAGGAGGAGGAGGAGGAGGCCGGAGGGGGATGGGCGGATGATGGGCGGAGCGCGGGGGAGTCGGGCGGTCGCGGGGTCCGGGGCAGGTCGGGTCCGGGTGTCGTCGAGTGGTTCTTTTCCCTTTGGAAAGTCGAAGTCCCGCGCGGCGCCGTTGAGGTCCGAGTCGCTTTCCACTTTGCGGCTTTGCGGTCCCGCCGAACGATCAAAAAGTGTACCAAGTAGCGGGTCCGGCCGGTAGGCGGTACGAGGGTACGTACCAGGGTGCAGGGTTTCCAGTCGTGGCACGCGTGCATGTTCCCGGCCCCGCCGTTCGCTTTTGCTTGACAAGCTGTGTTTTCTCTGTGGCGCCAGCTGTAGAAACCGACTTTTCGGCTGGCAGTTCTACCTCTAATAGCGGAGAAGCTTATCGTATGGAATTGTCGTTATCGTATAAGACAGGACCATAAGTAATCTTCAAGTTCCTATTTGTAACTTAACCTCGAGTATTGTTCCTTGATCCGATGTCATCATGTTGAACAACTGAAAGTGAACATGTCAAATGTTTATGCCCGGCCCGGAGCACTCCAGCATCCAACTCGTTGGCATCCAGTGCGCTTCCACTTCAGTTGGAAGAGCTTCCATGTTGAAGTTGAAGTACCCGACAGCAGCGGTGGTGCAGCCCGGACATGAGTGGGTCTCACATCCAGATGGAAAACTCCACCCTATCGACAATCGGCCTCGGTCTTGGGGCGGTCCCGTCCTTAAGTTCCTTTCAATGTGATGGGTCGATGGCCACTGATTGATTGATGCTGTGTCAGTGGTAGAGAGTGGCTGCCGCCCGTCATCTCCCAGCCCCGGACAATTTGGACAATCGACTGCAAGCCACCAGAGTGGTGACGGGTAGGCATGGTAGGACTTTGGGAACCATGATGGACGGGATAAGGTAGGACTTGTGGTTTGGCATCTGGCACTTTCAAGGGTGATGACATTGACGGGTGGCAGCTGATGACGGGGGGATTCGTTCTCCAGCCTCTCCTATCCCGTTTCGTCTCGTCATCCATCAAAGTCAACAGGCTTACTGACGGTGTTGTTTATGACATGGCAACCGAGATATTCGCAATTCAACAGTACTCGACTCGTATGTGAATGCGGCTGGGCACCGACAAGTTGCTGACCGCTCTCATCTCGAAACTGGTCCAACTGGGTTAATGGGTCACCGCGTGTTTTCGTCGCTTGATGCAGATGTATGAATCGACCGACAGCCAGGGGAAACGGGGCAGGTATAGTGTTTACATGGTGTATTATACCGACAAGATGTGATTCAGGAGCTGGAGTTTGGTTTGATAGCTTCTTCGGTCGGTCCGTCCCCTTCTTTTCTCACGTGTCATGGAGGTGTTGCATGCTTCCGCCATGTTCGCTTCTTTCAAGAGAGTCTTGGACCCTGACAATGCCTGAGACAGCCCAGAGGTTATGAACCATAGCAAACGCCAAACGGGCTCGTACCAGCTAATTTTACCTTCCTTTAGACCACGACGCACTGTGCCTGTTCCTTTTGGCCTTCAGTTCAGGGGCTCTGGGCGGGCAGTCTGGAGATTAGCAGTTATCGCCGATACTGGAGCCTTGCCTGCCTTCGCTCGCAAAGCTTCCTTCACTAATAAGAACCCTGGGGCCACGGCAGCAGCGCGTGCTTCCCCCTTTGATCGACAGCCAGCCGAGCCAGCGCAGCATGTGTCGGGTGTCGGATGGATTAACTGTGGTATGAGTGTCTGATGGCCATCAAAGTGGTAATTTGGCCAGTCCCCACCGTGCACTCTCGAGCTTGTCGTTGACCTAAAAGAAAAAAAAGATCGAGGGTCGTGTCGGGAGATGGCCTTATTAGCCTTCTGTCATGAGTCCGGGGTAGCGAAATAGGGGAACTGGAACGAACATGACGACGATTTCAACGTTGGTCCACTGGTAATATCGCCCAAATCACCTCTCTTTTCGCGTGCAAACAGCGAGAATTACGGTAAGATAATACTGTAAAAGGGGAAGGGACAGGATTAACTGTAGCCGGGGTCCGGTACGTACCGCCTTGTTGAGGATTCGGGCCACTCACATGGTGACGTCCAGAACGCTCCCGCCTCCACCGGCCACGCACATCAACCCGACACTCCCCCTTGTCTGGCCTTTGCTTTTGGCTCGTCTCGCAACCCCCTACCGGGCTCCTGTACAAGTGATGGAGTACCTTGATCCAACATGAAATGCAGTGTCCGGTCCACGGGCATGTGTGCAAGAGTGGTGCTGCAAAATCGAAGCCTGCAGCTGCAATTGACTGAGGAAGACGAAGCGCCCTGCCCTGGCCTGTGCCTGGCCTGCCTGCCTGGTACCGGTATGGACACCCGACACACAGTCCTGGGCTGCCCACTGCCTCGCTCCAGTAGAGGAGGTACTGCGCTCCCGTTCAGTCTGACTGCCCTGGTTCGCTGGCTGAGGTTTCCACCTTCTTCCAACCTTGCCCGTGGGAGTCCTGCACCTGGCACCCGCACCTGGCTATCTGGTGGTCCCCCCGTCTCCGTTCCCCGTCTCCGTCTCCGTCACAACAACTCACAACTTTAACTTAGCACAAGCAGCACACCACCACCTACCTCCAGCGGCACTACCACCACCGTCCTTCAACAACCACCCAACACCCCATCTCGGATTTCCTTCCCTTTTCCATTTTGCATCTTTTATCGACCAATTCCAGGCCGCGTGATACCCTCTCCGTCCTTTCCATACCCGGCGACGAATAATCCATCGTCGACACGTCTCAACTATTCATTCAACTTAATCTCTCCCCTATTCACAACACAACCACCAAACCGACACCATGTCTGCTGAACTCCGCCGAAAGCTCGTCATCGTTGGCGATGGTGCCTGCGGCAAGACCTGTTTGTTGATGTATGTCGATTCCCCTTTTGCTAAACTCAGCGCGCGTCGTCGCCGCCGCCGTCGTCGTCACCGCCGCCCGCTTTCCCGTCCATCGCAACCTTTTGCTAACCGAATCTCCAGCGTCTTCTCCAAGGGAACCTTCCCCGAGGTAAGTTAGGCACCTGTCGGAACTCAGACGTCCATCTACACATCTACTGCCCTCGACCGTTTGATCGCTACACCACCGCCCCTATCGCCTGACGAAACACGCATTTCTTGCCAATTTCCCGCGTCTCGCCTCTTCCGAACACGACACATCTCCCCAGCCCGACAAAGTCATCAAACCATCAAATTCGAAACATCCGCCTTATCGCCATCATATCCACATCCGAATAAGCGCTGCTCAGCCAGCTAACTCTCTGCGCTCAGGTCTATGTCCCTACCGTTTTCGAGAACTACGTCGCCGATGTTGAGGTTGATGGCAGACACGTTGAGCTCGCGCTATGGGATACGGCTGGTCAGGAGGATTATGACCGTCTCCGCCCCCTGTCCTACCCCGACTCTCACGTCGTCTTGATCTGCTTCGCCATCGACTCCCCCGATTCGCTCGACAACGTTTCCGAGAAGGTTAGTCTTCCGCTTGTTCACTCGGCGCGCCCTTCCTTTTGGCCCTTCAATTTGCTGACAATCAAAACAGTGGCATTCTGAGGTTCTCCACTTCTGCCGTGACGTCCCAATTATTCTCGTCGGCTGCAAGAAGGATTTGCGCCACGACCCCAAGACCATCGAGGAGCTCCGCAAGACCAGCCAGAAGCCCGTCTCCCCTGAAGAGGTACGTGAGGCTGAGACATGGACGTGGCTGATGCCTATTTCCTGCCTAGTTGCTTTCCCCCCCTTGCTTGGAAACACATGCTAACGTACTCATCAACAGGGTGAGGCTCTCCGTAAGAGGATCAACGCCCACAAGTACCTCGAGTGCTCGGCCAAGACCAACGAGGGTGTCCGTGAGGTGTTCGAGAACGCGACAAGAGCTGCCCTTCTCAAGAAGACAAAGACGAAGAGGGGCCTCTGCAAGAGCTCGGTCTAAACGAATCACGGCTCTGAAAGAGACGCTTTTACTTCGACCGCAACGAACAACATCATCTGCACCAAGCCCTCCCCGATAGCCTCGCAATATGTAATCAAGCAACGGTTTTCACACAGCGAAAGAAATCATCACCTTAGTTGATCATTCTCTGCCCATGTCGCCGTCAATGCTGCTACCGAGCGGATAATATTTCACAGAGAGAAGAAAGGGGTGGGGAGCGCAAATGGGGAGGGGCTTGGCATCTCGGGGATACTTATGGGCCTTACTACTCGATATTTAGGGAGGATAACTGGGTCTGGACTCCTTTCCACTATTTCTGTGTGCGTGGTTGGCGTGGGTGCGTGGGTTGTGTTTTATGTATACACAAATGGCGGACACCTGAGGGCGGCATAGGGAAAGAGAGAAAGACGGGGAGAAGGGAGTTTTTGCGGTTCAATATTCTTGTTTCTTCTTGAATCATATGCCGCGTCCTCTTTCTCTCCTACCTATCTCTTTCTATCTCTCTTCTTTCTCTGTCACTGCCCGCGTGCGTCTGTCTCTTATCTCGATCTCTCTCACGTGTATCTCTCTTGTGTCTACCTGTCTGTTATTAATCTCTAGTTTTATCGTGTTCTTGTTTATCTGTCTCCGTTTATGCTGCTGCTGCATGGTTCAAATTGGGAATTTGAGATTGAATGTTACGTATCGTTTGGACGATGGCGAAGCTGCCGAATCATCTCTGCTACTTCCATAGACCGTTGACGACAGTTTCTGTTACCTATATTATACGCAGACCACTATCGCCTGTTCCCCTTGTTGCTAAGTATCCTTATGTCATGCCAAGGACTGGCAACAGAAGCACTAGGCTTTCTCTTGCCACAACCCGTTTGTCTGATTACCAGTCCGATGTTCTACGTTTATTATTACCTCGCCTCTTCCACAATTCGCGTGGAGTGAGTGAGGCCGCCAACCCACCCGAGACTCAAACGTGAAACAATTAAGTGAATGAAGGACGTCACACCCATCAAGGGTGTACCTAGTTAAATCTATGTATCCGGGTCGTCACTTGGTCAGTTAGTGACTGATTCACACTTACTTGAACACATGGTAAAGGAGGCCGTGTGTTTTTCGTTGGTGTGCTCTGTTCAAGAGATTAAAAGAAAGGAGGCGTGTGGATAAAGTGTAACTTTGGCCAACGTTAGGTTAAGTATGAAAAGATACACCCACTGATCTATCGACGGGACATCTGAGTGAGGGCTGGCTGCTACCACTTTGCTCGCTACCTAGGTAGGCACTTGGATAGGTACAAGCCTATATATAGATGTATGTATGAAAATATATATATATATGTATTTGTGTATGCATGTATATTGAAGACCTTGTTTGTGCTTTATGTGTCTTGTTGCTTGATACTAATACTAATACCAGCAAAAATGAATCGTCTAGAGGTAGACAGACTCAAGCAAGCCGTTCAGGAGCTAGTGGCTCACTGGTTCACTGGTACCGACCGACCAGACCGGTTTGTCACTTCTCAATTCTCAAGGACGTAAGTAAGTAGGTAGGCATGTTTGCTTTCCTTTCCGCGTTCCTTAAGGGCTGGAAGAATGGAAAAATGGGAGGTGGAAGGCAGAGAGATAGTAGGTATGTATTTATCTATCTATCCATCTATCTATCTAGCCTGTGCATGTGATGATGCTTGTGATGATGTCTGTGATGATCAAGTCGATGGACGGCGGGAGGTGAGTGAAGCTTTGGCTTTATGCTCTCATCATCCCTCTTAGTGAGTCCCAGAATGGTGTTTCCCTTCCCTTCGCTTCGAGTGTCTCCTCACTACATCGAACCTCTCGTCCAGTCTGGCTTCATTCATGGCTTCATGGCTTGTAGAGTTGTAGGTCATGTTTCTGCTTAGTTGGGGCAAGACTACATATTATCCAGAGTAACGAGGTTAGTTTAGTTACGACCTGTTATGTCTCGTGTGTATGTGCGTAGAGATGGATAGAGATAGGTAGGTAGGTATCTTACAGCACCGCAAGAACCGCAGGACTTGGAAGAACCGTCAGAGGCGGCACCGCATTTGGGGCAGGTAGATCCGTGCATTTTGGCTTTGGGGGCTGGAGGTTTGGTTTGGTTTGGTTGAGAAACTGGTAGTGTCGGGTGTGATTGCTGATTGCTGAAAGTCAGATGTTGTTGTAGGAGACGGACTGTGGGACAGCACGGCAGGAGAATTTAAGGGGAGGCAGAGAAAGATATCGCGGCTATTTATACTTTTTTTTTCTTTTTTTTCTGTCTAGGGTTGGGTCTCTCATCTTGAAAGGTCATGTTACCTACCTACATACATCAGCTATACTAGTTTAGTATCCTTTCTATAGTGTATGGTAGTGTCTAGTGACCATATCATTCAAGCAGTTAAGCACACCTTTCTAGGTACTCCTACTGCCTGGCCAGATACGATATTACCCCAGAGTTTTCCCATCTTCTCTTCTAGGTATGTGTGCGGCACAGTAAACCGGAGGAAGGTGCACCCTCGAGAGAGATCTTCTTCAGTGCACATGTCGAGATCTAATTGTTCATCTTCAGGACACTAGCACTAGGACATTAGGACATCAGATGACCAGGTGAGCCAGGACATTAGATCAGGTAGCTTGGTCCACCATTCAGTTTACCTACCTCTAACATTGAGGTCAGCACTCAATTCCCTGTACACACCTCCACTAACATCACAGTTGAAAGATTCCCCTCCCTCTTCATCTCCATAGTCGCCTCAACAATGCAAAATCAAAACCCCCCATCTTTATATCTTTGTTACTATGTAGTGTAGCAGTAGCAAGCCTCACATCACAACCCGCGGTGCCTGTGAGCCCTGTTTGCCTATCATTCAGGGTCTCACAAGGGGTCTACGCTAGCTGCTAGCTAGCACTAGGGGCGGTGATCCATTAAGGCAAGGCAACTTAGGAGCTTGGCGACCACCCCGAGTACCCCCACTGGATTAACAATCCCGTCCCCAAGGTTGTAACCTGTGAGTGGTTGGTTGGTTAATACAGTCCCGAGGTCAGGTGTCGTTGCCGTGTGCACCACCAACCGCTACGATGTGCTGTGCTGTTGTGCATCATGAATGTTTGGGTGGGTGGGTGATTGAGGAAAAGTAGGGCTGTAGTAACCTAGGTAGGTAATTGAATACACCTTGCATCTTGTAATGTTCTCCATGATTTATGATTTATGATTAATGATAAATGATAATAGCTGCAAACGAACAATTGAAAAGAAAGAAGTGGAGTGTAACTGTGTAAAGAGACTAAGTGAATAAAACTCCACCTCTTCTTCTAACCTTACTTACAGACAAACTATCCGATATCTGGATTGTTTTTCCCTCTTCGCTATTTTCTTCCTTTTTGGCACTACTATCGAGCACAGCAATTGCTGTACCATAGCCCATCGACTGACTGACATCTTCGTCTTCGCCTTCCTCTTCAACCTTCTTTTGTTCTTCACCATCTCATCTGCTCTTCGTTTTTCGCTTCTTGTTCTCCGTGCTAACCTTCTTCCTCTTCATCTTCTTTTTCTTCTTCTATCTCTTCTTCTATCTCTTCTTCTTTTCCCACCTTCTCCACCAACCACAAGCCACAAGCCACAAACGAATCAATCCAAAGCAACTAGATCATTCACCATCTCCTCACTAAGATCCCCAAGATCAAAAACCCCCATCACATCACGATCAGTTGCCCGACCCAGACCCCAACTAATATTCCAGGTCCCTAAACCTTGTCGGTGAAGTCATCCGGTTACTACTCGTCTGATTCTGGTTCTGACCCTGGCCCCGATTCGTAACCGTCATAGTAGCCATATTTGTAAACGGCCATCCAGGTATAGTCTCCCTGAAGACATCCGAGGGGGATGGTATCCTAGGAGGAGGCGACTGCTGGTACTGCGCTTGCTGCTGCTGCTGCTGCTGGTCGTTGTGAAGTAGGTTTTCGTAATAATTTTGATGTAGTTGACGTCGAGATGGAGTGTCTGGAGATGTATGATGACGATGATGATGATGATGCTGTTGAGACTGACTCGGCTGATGCGAATGTCGCAGCGGAGAAGGAGACAGGACGGAAGAAGGAGACGGATGATAGGACGAAGAAGCGGCAGAAGCAACAGACGAAGAAGAAGAGTTACGCGGGTCTCCAGGATTCTAGCCCTTCCTCCGCCTCTTCGGATCGCGCTCGGGGCTTTCCATCATGTCATTCCTGATGATCTCCTCCGTCGCTGCCGATGGGGAAGGGGTGTTGACGGGGGAGTTGGTCTCGAATATCCTTCCAGACTCGAATCCGCCGCCGGTGACGGTGAGGCCACCACCAGCCGAACCAGAAGCGGCAGCAGCACCACCACCACCGTTGGCGGTACCGGGACCAGAAGTGCCGGTGTGAGTAGGGTTGGTCAGATCGAAGCCGTCGTCGAGGTTGAAATTGAAGTCGGCGGTACCGTCACCGGTTCCGTTGGGGCCGGGTAGCCCGCCGAACTCGTAGGTGGGATCGGAAAAGGCATTGTCGTTGAGGTATTGCTCAATATCGGTGCCATCGAAGTAGCCGGTGGCGCCGTTAGGGTTGCCGTGCTCGTCGAGACCGGGGATGCGACCGGAGGGGCTCAAAGGACCGAGCAAGCTCGTAAGTCGATCGATCTGGCTGGCCTGTTCCTCTTGGAGCCGCTGAAGGGCGTCCAGCTCCTCGTGGGTGTAGCTGGGGAATGGTGGAGGCGGCGGCATTGAGCCAAGGGCAGGGGAAAGCGTGTTGGGTGCACTGTGGTTGGGGACGACCTGGGGAGCCGGAGCCGGAGCCGGAGCCGGAGCGGCAACGGGTACCGGGGGGATGTTGGGCATCAGCGGCATCGTCGCTGCTGGGGTAGGGACCGCGGAGCTGGAGGCTGATGAGGAACCGTTGGTCGAGGGCATGTTGTTTCCGGCCATGATACTGAGCATTCTGTTGCGTTGGTCATTGCTCAGGGCATTCACATGCGTCTTGGTCGCCATATCTGGTAGGTCAACGCCTCCCGAAGCGCTCACAGCATTAGTGTCTTGAATGAGCTTCATCATCCCCTCCTGAGGGTTGTTTTGTAGCTCATTCTTCATGAACGTGGACGATGGGCTGTCTCCAGGGGTGTTGTCGAAGAGTTCCGTGACAGAGCCCATCTGCTGCGCCTGATATTGAGGGTGGATTGGCGCAGGAGAGGGTGTCGAGGACGGGGAAATCGAGTGCACCTTGGCCACACCCTGCTGAGGGATAGGGGGCAGGAGCCGCTGTTGACGCTTCGGCGTTCCCATAGCCATGTTGTTGTGGACCTGCTGGTTGACGAAGCCGCCGAGGTCGACAACATTTGCCTGAGGCATCTGGTTCTGTGTGTGAACCTGAGCATTGGGAATGATGCTGGCCAAGAGATCCTGCACGCTTTGCGTCCCTCCTTGCTCCTCCAGCGACTTCCGGAACACATTGGCAAGAAAGTTGAGAATGGCATTAATCGAATTCTCGTGACGTTCGTGCATGTTCTGAAACGTGATAGCTTGCTGGAACAGGGTCGAATGTTCAGCTCGGATCTTTTGTAGCATGGTGGAGATGGCCATCTGTTGCTGCTGTAGCCGATCTAGTTGAGACTTGACTGCTACCAGATCCTTCTTGTGTAGCGGGCCAACCTCGCTAGCACCCGAAGAACCACGTCCGACCTGGGCTGACGAGTAACTCTGACCGGCGTACGCGTCATCGACAACGGCATCCTCCTCGCTATCCCCCTCACCCTCGGTCTTGGGTGTAGCTTTGTTTGGCTTGTTCCCCTTCCCTCCGCTTTTAGGTTTGTTGATCAGCCATAGAAGGTTGGGATGACCGCGCCGAAAGTAAGGATTGTAGTATTCGCTAGGACTTTTGTTCTTTCTTTCAGACGCTTTCATAGAATTATCCGAGAGGCCCACTCGCTTGTGGAATCCATACATGTTGAGCTGCCGCACAAACGAGGCATAGTTGTTGTGTTTGAAGAGCTCCGGGATAAGAGTCTTGGCGAACTCATCTTCATCAAGGACGATGAAAGAGTCGCCCTTATCAGACCAGCGAATGAGATCAGTGTTCCTAGACTCATCCAAGAAGCTGAGCACGTATAAGGTTAGTATGTATATATCTCTTTAGTTGTGGGTAAGGGTATCAAACACACACCTGCTCAATTTCTGGACGAAAGGTGGGATCTGCTTTCTCTTGGCCTGCGCTTCCCGCTTGGCCCGCTGCGCCATCTCTTCGAGGCGCTCAATGTTGTCGTGCTCATCCATCGGAGGCACGGTATGCCCCAAGGGGTAGGCAGCATCGTCACTAAATGAGGTCCAGGTGTCGGCGGTCCCGTTGAACTGGTTGGTAGGGACAAGGGCCCGACTTGGCTGACGCCGAGCCAGGGCATTGGAAGGTGCTGGAATAGCCTGCGGATACGGTGCTTGCGTGGACATCATTCCAAACGAGTTGAGAGGGGCCGCTGCTGCTTCTGGGCCGTTATTCCACCGGTACATCTGGTCCGCTTGAGCGGGAGGGAACTGTTGCTGCATTTGCTGAAGAGGAAGGGGCACGATGGGCGAGGAGCCCGGAGCCGGTCTCTTTCTCGGATTAGGAGAAGACATGGCGTAAGACGACGGGAGCAAACGCTCGAGATGGCACGACGAAGATGGGTTTACTAGGAAAGCCGCTACGGCGCAATGGTTGGTGTCGAGAGGCGCGGTAGGCGATCGGGCTACCTTAAGACTTGTCCTTGTCGATGTAGGATATTGGTATGCTCTCTCGCAAGATAGATAGAGGCGTACTAGATATGGCGATACTGTCCAAAGGCTGCACGTATCGTGGGTATCGACAGCAACACCAGGCCAACAGATACGATCGCGGGGAAGCGTATTGGGGGAGCTGCTCCGCCAGACGGAAGAGGGATAAGAGAGACTTTTTAGATTTGTTGTAGTCCTTGAGAAACACACAGAACGATGCGGGCGTTATATATTCTGCAGTGGTCTTGATATCTCGCGGGTTCAAAGGCTACTCTTTGCAAAAGAATCTCTGCCTCTTTCTGGGGACGGACGAAAAGTGTAAGCGAATCTCAGCTTGCGTCTAGCAACGATCAAGAGATGGTGGTTGACGACCGACAAGGGCGCCGTGAAGGAGGTTGTTTGTCGCACGTCGATTCTCTTTCAAGCGCCCACCGGAGTGTAGGACCTGGCTGGGACAATTGGCGATTGTTTCTGACAGAGCAGCAGGCGATGGACGAACGGTCCAATGGTCCAATGCGCGCGCGGGTTTTGTTCCTTGTTGTCGAGGTCCTCGCCTGGAGGTTGTGATGATTTGTTGATTTTTTTTTTGTATTGCTGGTTTCAATGACAACAGCCAACCTTGTCTGTCTGTCTTTTTTTTGCAGTAACCCAACACCACCAGACAAAGACTCTGTCGTCCCGCCTTGTGTCCTGTCAAGGTCTTCTCTCTCTGGTTTCCAATCGTAAAGTTGCTCCCTTCTCCAGAAGATTTGGTCTCGTTGTTTTTTTTGCCTTCGTCGGCGATCAAATCCGAGTTGGGCGGGGAAGTCGTCGGGGGCCGGATCGCGGAGTTGGCGTTTCCAAATGTTCGAGTAATGCAAACTGCGATCGCGGTAAGCGGGATTGCTAAGTGGCCGTGTCCGTGGACGGGATAGTGGATGGTGGTCCGGGAAACAGGATGATCGGACTTTGGTCGAGGCAGCGGCAGTGGTCGTCGTCGCCGGTACTAGACTAGTGAATGGTATTTTGGTGCGGCGGAAAACAGCGATAGCCGCGCGAAGTGTGGTACGGCAGCAGCAGCAGCAACTCGAAAGAGTGGAAAAGCTGGTGAGGTTCAAAGTTCGGTGTTTCGAGTCCGTCCGTAATCCGTCGGGTTCTTGGGACTTTGTATGACGGGTAGGAAAGAATGTTTGGAGGATCTTCTTCCCGTTGGTACCTATGGTAGTTGGCCGTTGTCTGGTTGGTCCGGCCTGCCGTGTGGTCGTGGTTAGTGATGTGGTGTCGTCTTCCACTCTTCCTTCCAGTTTGGATCGTTCGACGGAGCATCCAACCGTAAAGACTGCTGAACGTGATGGCGGCAGGTGCGCTGAATGGTGTGAACTCTGGGCGTCCTTTGGCAGCATCTGGCACCCGGACCGCACTCAACCCTCTGAGGTGTCGAGCCAGAGTCCAGCACCAGGGCACCAGCCAGGTGGGCGAGTTGGATGAACCGATTTCTCTGATCGCTCGATCGATGGCAGCTGATAGCGCTATCCATCCAATCACATGTCTTGGTGATAACGGACATGCCACACTATACGTGGGGCCTATCCGTGCCAATTGCTCCGGCATAGTCTTGGCCTGGGTCTTTGTGGGAGCCTTTTCTCCAATATCGCGTCGCTTTTTTGGCGGGTCCATTGTCTACTTCTGCGTGACCTTTGAGGTTCTCACCACATAGAAAAAAAGTTGCCCTTGTTGAGTCCGTGAAGAACCCGATCCGACAGCAACACCGACACCAGCGCAAAGGATACCGTACAGTGTAACTGCTGCCAGGAGGCAGATACCGGGACCTTCTCCGGCCGGGGAATCCGCTATCATGTTCCCCGGTTGTGAATGATGTATCAGAACAGACCAAATTGCCGGAACCCATTGTTTACTTGTATTGTCGTCACATTAAAGATGTTGAGATGACAGTCTTGATATTGGACTAAAAACACTTGATCGATCTGATAACTCTAATCCCATTTCATCTCACCTTTAAATCAATGACGACTGTCAAAGCAACTGCCCGGTCGTAGTTCATGCCAATGACCCGGAGGTGCAGCATAATGAATGACTTAGCTAGGTGTGGTTTCTTTCTTCGGCCAATATGTCACTTTGGAACGAGCTGGGAGGGGAAGAAGCTCTGGCAAAGCCTTGAACTGTGCAAAACTGATATGCACATGAATCGAACTTTTTTGACTCGCTGGAAGCGAGGTAGCAGTCACAAGTAACATCTGACAAAGTAGAAGAAGCTCAGCCATCGACCTAGGCTAAAAGACAAGTTCGTCAGAGTTGTCAAGGACTTGCTGGGGAGTGGTCATGAAGTTGACCCTATCAGCAGGTCTTGGCACTCGGGATTGTCCCCATGGAACTGTTCCACGAGCATCTACAAGATGCTTTCTGCATCGACATACGAATGGGCCCCCGGGCCGTTTCCGTCCTTTCCATTTCTCTTGTCTTCTCTTGACATCTTTGGGATGGAGTTGGGGGGGGGGGGGGGGGGGGGGGGTCCTAAAGGGTATGGACAAGGTGTCTTGAAGACGTTGAGATAACCCCGGTATATCGGGCCCATGTAATTGTTAGTGCCTGTTAGTGCATTTCAACCACCTAACAAAAGTGGCACTAGCTCAATTCCTCAAAAAGGTCACTCAACGGGCGCTTTGAACGGCACGACGGGGTGGCAACTGGTGGGTACCGGCTACATTAAGCTTATCTTTCATGGGAAAGGTTTGAGACCTCCCGGAGTGAATACCGTCAAGTGCGAGTGGTCAGAGTGCTTTGACAACGTCAAGGGTATCATTTATGTTGGTTACTACCTAATCTATAGACTAGACATGCTACTACCGTTATCACACTGTTCTTGAGTAAAATGTAGGGATGTGACATAACCAACAAAGACATCAAGGACGGGGTAACTCATCCCGTAGATCATCAGTGTCGGTCCCGTCTTCCCCGATCCCAAGCTCTCGAAGAAGCTCCCGTCTTAGCATCTCGGCTGGCCTTCTTCTCCTCTTTGAGCGTCCTGGCTTTCGCCAGAGGATCAATAACCACCAGTTCTTCCTCCGCCTTCTTCCGGTAGCTGAGGTCTTTCCCGAGCTTGTCAGCGGCAAAACTCAACTTGTGAGACATCCAACCTTCATCACCACTATCCTCATTGTCCTCCACCTGATCCCAGGCCTTGCAGCTTTGACAGTTAGCAAATGAAGTGAAGATCGCACACCTTTTCCTCGTCTGCTTCACCGTCTTGTTCTCCCTTCCTCTCTTCATCATAATTCACCGCGGGCTGGACCGCATTCCTCTCTGGTGGAGCAGTCTCAATCTTGGCCTTGAAAGACTTGAGCAGGTCCAAAGCCGCTTGCTCTTCCCGCGTAGGTATAGTACTGGCACCTGGACGGCGCTTTCTTCCGCGGATGGCTGTATCCGGAATCAGTTGCTCCAGAGCCGACTTCTTCCTCTCCTGCTTTACTGGCTCTGAATGAATTGTCCTCTTCATTGACGCTTTGAGTGCCGCGATCTCTTCGTTCGTCTTCTCCAGGAGAGACTTCTTCTTGGGCTCTGGTTCTGGGCTCGAATGCTCGCTGTAATGCTTCTTGGACGGCTGCTCTTTCTTCTGAGCAACCGGTGGTGGGCTTGGACTCCTCCTGCTTTCCTTTACCGGTTTTGGCTCCGGCTTTTCTTCCCGTTTTGGTGCATCCTTTGCCGCTGCTTTGCCGTCCTTCTTGGCGGATGACTTCGTCGAGGCGCTTTGCTTGCTTGAATCGTCTTCATCAAGATCCACCGCAATCCTTGTGTCAAACTTGGGTTTCTTGGGGAGAGGAAGCTCTTCACCGTCCTCATCACCAACCTCATCTCCAAAACTTAGTAGCTGCTTGCCGCCTTTCCTCTTCTTCTGCTTCTCCTTCTTCTCGGCGGGTGTGGGCCTAGAAATCTGCTGTTGTCTGGTTTTCTTCTCCCTCTTCTTCATGTCATCGAAGGGATTGATGAGGATCTCGATATGCGTGATCTTGATGGGATATAGGGGCCGCTCACCGCCCTCTTCCACCTCGGCCTCTCCAATCTTTGCCAAGTTGTAAATCGTGTCGCCGGCCACTCGACCGAACATGGTATTCTTCCCCGTCAGCTCGTCCGCCTTGCCAAGCGTGAAGAAGAACTGACTGCTATTGGTGTCGGGTGTTCCTTCGTTCGCCATACCCAGGAGACCTCTACGGTTGAACTTGAGGCGCGAGTGGAACTCGTCCTTGAAGTTGGCGCCATAAGGTCCCGCGTTCTTTCCATGTCTCTGGTCCATCGGCCATGGGTCGAGATCGCCGCTGAGCGCGCCATTATCGTAAATCGACTCTCCTCCATGACCGGTGCCGCTGGGATCACCACCCTGGACGATAAAACCAGGGACCAGGCGGTGGAAAATAGTGTTATCGTAGTAACCGTCGAGTGCAAGCTGCAGGAAGTTTCGGCATGTCAGTGGCGTTTGCTTCGCGAAGAGCTCAACGGCAATCTCGCCCTGTGTTGTGTGGATAATCGCAGATGCCGTCGGCTGCGGCTCGAGGTTGTAGATGGCCGACATGTTGTTATTGGGTTTGCCGCGCTTGGCTCGGTGTGGTCCCGCGTATGTGTGGTTTTACAGTCGGAGCATGCAATGACAGCGTTGGGGTTCGGTAAAAGGGTGATATTTGGCAATGACGCGACAGGTGCTTGAACAAGGCGAGTTCAGTTCATGGCGCAAACTGAAGGTGGAACTCTTTTGCTGGATGCAGTTCAGCCTCGGCTTGAAACGACGATCGCAGTTGGAGGTCAGGAGGTTTGGCTGTGGAAGGTGTGGCGGTGCACTGGAGGTTTCAAGCTGGGAGCTGTTGCACTTTGCAGTGTTTGGACAGACCGTTCGCAACTGTGCCCGACTTTGAGCCCGTTCTGCGGATAACGGATGCGGGGCTGCCCTGCACTCTGTCAGTGGGAGCGCCCGCTGCCTGCCAGGACCGGGCTGCCCGCTGTGCACTCGCAGCGCAGCGCAGAGCAGGAACTTGGCCTGGATAGGCGCTTGTCACTGGGCTTGTCAGACCAGCGCCTCAGCCTATCAGTCCAGGCCAGGCCGAGGACGGCTTGGACTTGGAGCTTGCGACTGCTTGCAACTTCAAGACACCAATACATGTTACCTTAGCTTCCATCTCCATCCACACCAACCTCATTCTCCCTCCGTCGCATCCAGCATCTCGCCGACGACAGTAACGTCTTTCCCAGTCCTATAGTATCCGATCTTTATCCTCAGCTGGCCTCGAGGTGTTGAATACCGACTCCGCACTCTTCCACAATGGCCGATCCCCGGGTACCGTCGTCATATAACGTGACGCCCAGAATCCGCTACAACACTGTCGGTGGTGTCAACGGTCCTCTCGTCATCCTTGACAATGTTGGTCAACCACTTCTTCTTTCTTCCAGGAATCATCGTCCCGTAATGCGCATGTCTAACAACCGCCATAGGTCAAATTCCCTAGATACAACGAAATCGTCACATTGACCCTCCCCGATGGAACGCAACGCTCCGGTCAGGTTTTGGAGGCGCGAGGTGAGTTTCTCTTTCGCAGTCCCTCTGTGTGTCACATCTCGATCAAGTGCTGACTGTCATGATGCTCTACAGGAAACCGCGCCGTCGTCCAGGTAGATAACCGCGATAACAACTTGACAGACACCCGAACAATGCGCTGATATCATGGATAGGTCTTCGAGGGTACTTCTGGCATCGATGTGAAGAAGGTGAGGCAGACATCCAGACAGGAAATAAGGTCCAGGAAGCTGACTGGGAACAGACCAAAGTCGAGTTCACTGGCGAGAGCTTGAAACTTGGTGTATCAGAGGACATGTTGGGCCGTATCTTTGATGGTTCGGGCAGGGCGATCGACAAGGGCCCCAAGGTGTTGGCCGAAGAGTATCTCGACATCAACGGCAGTCCCATCAACCCCTATTCCAGAGTATGTACCTTGATGGCTGGATCACGAACACCGGGTACATGATGCTGACAAGCTGTAGGAATACCCCCAAGAAATGATCTCCACCGGTATCTCTGCCATCGACACCATGAACTCCATTGCCCGTGGTCAAAAGATTCCCATCTTCTCCGCCGCCGGTCTGCCTCACAACGAAATTGCTGCCCAGATTTGCCGACAGGCCGGTCTCGTCCAGCGCCAGGGTATCACAAATAAGGGTGTTCACGATGGTCACGAAGAGAACTTCTCTATTGTCTTTGGTGCCATGGGTGTTAACTTGGAAACCGCTCGTTTCTTCACGCGCGATTTTGAGGAGAACGGCAGTTTGGGTCGTACCACGCTCTTCCTCAACCTTGCCAACGACCCGACTATCGAGCGTATCATTACCCCCCGTCTCGCCCTCACGACGGCCGAGTACTACGCCTACCAACTCGAGAAGCACGTCCTCGTCATTCTTACCGATCTTTCGTCATACTGCGATGCCCTTCGTGAGGTCTCGGCTGCTCGCGAAGAAGTGCCCGGCCGTCGTGGTTTCCCCGGTTACATGTACACGGATTTGTCGACCATCTACGAACGTGCTGGTCGTGTCGCTGGCCGTAACGGCTCGATCACGCAGATCCCCATTCTCACGATGCCTAACGACGATATCACCCATCCTATTCCCGATTTGACGGGCTACATTACTGAAGGTCAGATCTTCGTCGACAGAGGTCTGCACAACCGTGGTATCTACCCTCCCATCAACGTGTTGCCCTCTCTCTCGCGTCTGATGAAGTCGGCCATTGGTGAGGGCATGACGCGCAAGGATCACGGTGATGTCTCGAACCAGCTGTACGCCAAGTATGCCATTGGTCGCGATGCCGCGGCCATGAAGGCTGTCGTTGGTGAGGAGGCCTTGTCGAACGAGGATAAGCTCTCTCTGGAGTTCTTGGACAAGTTTGAGCGCTCCTTCATTGCCCAGGGTCCTTACGAGTCCCGTACCATTTTCGAGTCTCTGGACCTTGCGTGGAGCTTGCTTCGCATCTACCGCAAGGACATGCTCAACCGTATCCCCAAGAAGATCATTGACGAGTTCTACTCGAGGTCTGCTGACCGCAAGGGCAAGGGCAAGGGCAAGGACAAGCCCACGACCAAGGATACCAGGGACACGGCGGCGCCCGAGGAGGAGAACCTGATTGACGCATAAACAGCTTGTGGACTATAAGAAATGTCGGCGTGGTGGCTGGTTGAGTGTTAGGTTATGACTTATTGAGTTCTGTTTCGTGTATCTCAAAGGGCATGGGGTTTTGCGCTTCTTGCTGCGATATTGTAGATTGGAATTGAACAGTATCATGCTTCCTTCCATAGTTCCATGTGCCGAACCTGTTGACAGGATGATGTGCTGTGATGGTAAGTAAACATCAAACAAAACAATGGAACAGGGAGGGCTGGATCTGGAAGTCTTGGCATGGCTGAAGCTAGAGCTTATTTGGTGGAGAAGAGACGGCAGACGACCCCGCATGATTCTCCGAGACGCCACAACCGCGCCAATGAGGGTTGGAGACGGACTCCATCATCTGATGGTTCGCTTCTGCACGACGTCATATTCGTGATTTTACCCCGGGATATTTGGAGAAAGTAAACAACGCCGAGTTTGGGTTCACGATGCTTCGACCTACTAGGTACGAATTGTACAAGGCTTGAGACCGAGAGAAGCAGTGTTGGTTATCGCGCTCACTTGGACAGCAGGCAAGACACGAACAACTAACACGAAGACCGCAGGAGACAGGCTGATGATCCGCTCCTTGCGCAAAGAGTTCATGATATCGAGGCTTGAGGATGAGGTATAGAGGATCCCAATAACATAACCCAACCTCGTGGAATCTGGGAGGTTGGGTAATAGTCCTTCCCGGCCTGATATATAACACAGTGTCTTAACGAAGGTCCCTCGACCTTCTCGCCAACCTGACCCTGCCTCTCTTCCTGGCGGAGAACATCACAGATGCAAAAGAGGCGCCGAGATCCACCAATCAAACGCACAGCTTGCATATTAACCGTTGGGTTGCGAACCAAGATGCGAAGGAATGCCGGCATGCGACTTTCTGCATGCTAAGTGTGAGCTTGTTGCACAAAGAGGCTGGCATCTCGTGGGCATTTAACGTACCTACGTGCAGAACTTCCTCTAGGAGCATGTGCCCACATACAGTAGGTAGTGTAGGTCTACTGCTAGGTAGAGGTAAGTGTAGGTGTAGGTCTTGTTGCCGTTGCCGGATGCAGATCATATTCCTCTTGTCTCTTGTCACCGAGTCTCCGATATGTACCCCAACTCACCCGACAAAGGCAGGCGTGGAGTGGAGAGGAGAGAGGTCGAGATGAACATCATCCATATAGGAGTTGGGACATGGGATGAGAGATTAGACCGCTATGGGCCGTTTACATACACTTCAACCCGGATTCATAGAGTGCTTGGGTAACATCCAACCTTTTCTCGAGGTGATCACCAACTCTCGCTACCTTACCTTGCTCCCCTCCTCTCCTCGACGGTCACTAACGAACATCAGTAGATCCGCACCAACGGGAGACCACATTCACTGACGTGGCCCTGTCTAAACAGTCTAGGATGCCAATGGGTGATGGATGGATGGTACGGCCTTGAGCTTTTCGTTGATATTAACTTCCCTCCCTTCTTCTTATTGCTTTTCCTCTCGAGTCCTTCCCCTCACTTTGTGTTCCCCTTCCTTTCTCCTTAGTTGGGTTCCGTCGTCGTTTTTGTGAGTCTGGTGCTACTGTTCCTTTCTCTCGAGTGTCTCAACAGGCACCATCATCAGCACCATCATCAGCACCATCAACAGCACCATCACCATCACCACGACCAGCACCAACCACCAGGGAACCGGTCACGTCAAGATGCGTACTCACGCTCTGCTCCTACCTGGAGCACTACTTTCCTCGTCCTTTGCAGCGGCAGCTACAATCCCCTCCCCCGATGCAAACGGCAAATACTGGCTCAACACCACCCACCTCTCCCTCGCCTTCATCCCCTACGGCGCCTCCATCACCAACCTGATCCTGGCCGACAAGCACGGCAAACCGCTCGACATCGTAGCCGGCTACGACAACGCCACAGCCTACACTCTCGACAAGGCTCACCCGCACTTTGGTTCCGTGCCCGGTCGCTACGCCAATCGCATCAAGAACAGCTCCTTTACTCTCTTTTCCGACTCTGACCCTGAGAATGGTGAAAAGGCAGCAATAACATACCACGTCACACCCAACGAAAACCCTACGCCCGAAAACCCCCACGGCGTGGATACCCTCCACGGCGGTCCGGACGGGTGGGACTACCGCAACTTTTCCGTCGTGGCATATACCAACTCCTCCATCACCTTCTCCATCGTCGACCCCGACGGCAAGGAAGGGTTTCCCGGTGAAGTTATTTCTTACATCACCTACACCGTCTCGGGCCAAACGTGGGATATCAAGATGGTGGCTATCGCTACTACAAAAAAGACGCCGATTATGCTGAGTAGTCATACCTATTGGAACTTGGACGGGTTCGAGCTCGAGGACGCGCTGGGTCATGAGCTGTGGATGCCGCTTGCGGGCATGAGGATTGGTGTGGATGGGATTCTGATTCCGACGGGCGAGGTGCTGGCGAATGAGAGGGGGGGTGTTAATGATTTTTGGAGTAAACCTAAAAGGATTGGGGAGGCGTTTGGGAATGGCACCGAGGGAAGCAAAAAGGAAGGGTTGGAGGGGAATTGTGGAAGTGGGTGCACTGGTTATGGTATGTTTTTTTGCTTCCTTCTTCCTTTTCCATTTGCTTTGGCACGACCTTCGGGGGGGGGGGTTTCTTCTTCTC